ACACTTTTTGCCTTTCCTGGATGCTCTTCGATTCTGATTGGATTAAAAACATTGTAATCAGGATTATTGTCGAACAGCTCCACCGAAATTTGCTGATTGTATGAAACTAAAAGAGCATTTCTCTAGCGAAACATTCGCAGCGTTCGAAACGGAAGGGCGGCATGCACGAGTGCGGCTTTTAGTTTTAGGGACTTCTGCCAAAAAATTCGTTTCTGGTGCTTTCGGCTTGGAGGGGCATTGTGCACTTTCACCAGTTCCTCTTCCTAGTGCATATTAACAAGCAGATTAACACCTGTAAACTGCTGGAAAGCTGAGCAGTGATACAAGTGATCCACTTTAGTCACGAAAATTCCCTACACTTCACAAGGTGGCTTGTTGGGGGCCCCACCAAGCCGAACGGCCCATTTTTTGTGAAATTTCTATGTAGTCTGTTTATGTGATCTCTAGATGGTTTCGAGCTGTCCAAGATGCCGATCGCACTCGCAGAATAAAAGCCGAGAGAGCGGAACGTCGCAGAAGAGAAAGGATAGCAGCTCGTAGAGGCGAGACAGAGTGACAAGACATCTTGAAGTCTTATAATCGGAATCCTCCAGCAATCCTTTTTGCCCTCTAGGTGTGTGTTTTGTTGCATTTGTACATTTTTTGATAGTAATACTGAGATAGTAATTAGTCATAGCCACTCGACCGGCAGTGATCGATATATTGCTCTATGTGGCCCACGTGATGCGTTGTTGAGCAGGGAAAGTGCAATGAGTGAACATCACTGGACCAGGGCACATCATTGGTTGGAGGATTTTAGTCGACTCTATACGACCCCCCCCCTTTTTTTTGGGAGTTGGTACGACCCCCTGCCCCCTCCTTCTGGTGGGTGAAAACTAAAAAGGAAGTTCACCTAAAACTCTTTGAATGGAATGAAAACTTCAAAATCTCGATTTCAAAAGTTTCCTTACCCGTTCACATAATCGACCCTTATCGGCAACTCGTATATAACCCCCTTCCTCGCGATCAGATCTGACCCACCCCTCTTTCTCTCTCTTTTCGCTGTACACCACTGCTGTGGGGTTTCGCAACGGATTTACCGTTTTGGATAGATCTCGAAAGCTTTTAACGCCATGGAGACTTTCCGAAGGCCCATGATTATTTGCGATGTTATCTCCATGGTTCTCCAGAATGGAGAATGGAGTGGACTTCAGTGCAGGTCCTGCCGTTGGAGAAAATTTTTGCAAAATCCACCTTCCCCACTCAGAAAAAAACGTCTGGTACGACCACCTTCTCCATCCCCCCTCTCAAAATTTTCCCCTTTGCTCTACCACTTCCCCTTCTTCCCGGAGTAAAAAAACCGTCAGTGAGGGGTTGGCGGGGGGGGGGGCTGTACAACGTACAGGAAACCAGGAGAAACCGAGAGAAATCAGCAACCGACAACATTTTTCTCGAGAACAATTACGACCTCTCCCCTAGCAACCAAATACGACTCCCTCGGTGAGGATCCCAACGAACGTTTTGCGTTGTACTCTCTAGCTGGTTGTTATTCCAGGCTACTGCTGCAACTTATGACTGCCTCACATCTCTTTCTCCGGAGGCCTAGCGAAGCTATGAAGACCTTCATGATAGCGTGTTGTGCTCTTGTCCAGCCTTTGCAAGGTGTCCTATCAAATGTTCTTACACTCTGTGTAAGGGGCTGTAGTGATGGCTCATCTTGAAACAGTGACTTTAGAACTTCGAGGGCGGGCAAACCAGTCTGTTAGCAGAAAATGTGTTTATTGTGATTCCTGCTACAAGTTAGTCAATCATATTTCTTTAGCGAGTATTACTTTTGTCAGTAGCATGATTTATAATGCAATTCTTTTTTTTTTTCGCTAGTTTTTGTCAATGGTCCTTCATACGTGTGATTTTTCTATCCTCGGCAATCAAATCTTCGTACTAGCCCTGTGTCTTCTGCTCGATGTAAGTTCTACTCTACGGGTAATTGTAGTCGAGTATAAAATTCGTATTAGTAGCTGTTTTAGATTATTTGTATTTATTAGTGATACTAGGAAATAAAGAATTCTTGTGAATGTCACGTTCAATAATCCTGTGAATCTCCAAACCTAATTGGGACTTTGTTTTATCTGCTCTTCTTGGTGAATGGTAAATGATGTGATAAGAGTTCAATTCGTTCAGCAATGATCTCCAGTAGATCACTCGATATGATGGGAAAAATCGCGCTTATTACCGGCTCAACGAGTGGATTGGGTAGGTCTCTCATGTCATTAGTTATTGAGCGCTATCAAATCAGGGTGGGCGTTTCCATGCAGAACACCCAAGGCCCATATAAAGCTTAAGGCACGATGAATCCCACAAGAGGTGTAGGACTAATACGTCCAGCAGAACAGATTTCTTCACGGGTATGTGACAGGAGAGTCGTCATTGTCCGCGCTGACGCGTGCGACGTCGCGCCCGCATGACGATGGTTCAGTTAATAGACGGCGACAAAAGCCAATTCAGAACCAGAAGTAGTGATGAATGTCTACCATGATGGGTACTACATGAAGTCCGGTGCTCCATCGACAAGTAACACGGGTTAAGAGAACGCCGCACCCATCGCTGCGCGCGGCGGAGCGGCAAATCACGATTCTCTTGCCCGTCTCCCCCCCCCCTGAGCAGGCGCTGCGTGGCGCCTTTTCCAAGAAGGGTACCCTCATAGCGCCCTATCAAGCTGCAACACACCAGTCTAAGCCCCACCGCGCTCGCTCGCCCACAAATGTCCGACCGATGCTGGTGCTCGGATCGCTTCATTTGCACAGCACAATATGAAGTGAAGGGATTGATATGAAGCGACTGCGGAGATGGAGCCGTGTCCATGGTATACAGTAGTTCTCTACGGACGGTTGGGCGTGTCCGCGCGGCGGCGTTTGGCGCGGTGCCAAAGTCGTTCTCCATTAGTTGTTGAAGCGGCCACATGGCAACACTGTATCATATCTTTCATTACTCGTTTTCTACTACTTTTTGTCGGGCAGGCGGGGTTCTAACAAGAAGGCAGAGAACGAAATTTCATTTGTGAAACTCATGACTGCCTGAACGGGGGCCCACCGTCTGCAGCGATACTAAAGGTTACGCGTTATTAGCACGATGTGAACAGGAAACTCGTCGAAATTGGCATCCAAGTCGTGTAGCCATTGCAGGTTTTTGACCCTTTCGCTTCGCTTTTTAGCCATTTTCCCCATTGTATAGCATCCTTCCTGCCATTTTGGACCAAGTACCAAATTATCATGCCTTATGCCTTGAAGGAGTTGAGTCAGTCGTTTTTTTTTGGATGTGGCACGCATTCTACTTCCATTTAAAGTCGCTGTGGCTCACCGAAGGCGATATGGCCTATAAATTGAACCCCGGATCGGCTCCGGGCTCATTATGTACCCCAGTGAAAATTCACCATTTTTGCACATGGATCATATCGTGGTAATCAGTCGGAGCGCGGCAGAGCGGAACTATTCTGGCTCCCTTTTCCTAAACCAAAATATTGATCGATCTTAGAAAGAAAACAACTAGTGGTGAATAGCTTACGAGGTCGTTCATTCCATGCCTGTTGACACGCCACTTGAGTAGGGAGGATATCAACTGTATCGATGGCCTTTCATGTAAGGGGAAGTAGGAGGGTGCATAGGTGATTGGACTCTTAGATTGAGGAGAACAGTTCGATAGGCGAAGGTGGGGTCATGCTAAACGACCAAATTTCCCGATCCGCTCATGTACACCGACAGTGATAAGAGTCCTGCACGTGAGCACCGTCTTACACGTGGGGCAAAAATTAGACTTCGAATTGTGCAAGTTCAGCCTTTATCAAGAGCTAAGCTCGGTATGCTTTTAGGCCTTCACACAGCCAAAAATCTTTTCACAAGAGGAGCGACAGTTATTCTCACATGTCGTGATGAAGTGCGCGGACGAGCTGCCCTGGAGGCCGTACAATCCCAGGTTGAAAATGGTGCACAGTCACTGGGAGAGCGACTCCACCTCTTCACCGTAAGTGATTGACTCGTATTTTTTGAAACCAATGACCGCTTAGTTCATCTATATAGCAAAGCAAAGCTCTTGGAGATTCAGAGAACCGTTCAGTATTTCAGTTGGATTTGGCTTGTTACCAGTCTATCTTGACATTTTGTCACGAAATAAAGCAAAATTTCAATCATATTGATGTACTCATCAACAACGCTGGTGTAATGGGTCTCCCGTTCGAGGTATGTTTCAGTTTTGTACTTTTGTTGTTGCATGCTGTTTCATATTTCAAGGGAACGATAGGCCATTTTTGGTGGAATTGTCTTTTCCGCATAGCAGCCTAAAGGACAGCGTTACTGTGAGAAGCGACCCTATAGATCGAGATAGGGTGAGGGTAATAGGGTGACGTTCACCTCTCCTATTTTTCTCTTGTGTTTCCGCAAATCGGTGCAGACTCAGGATGGCATCATTGATGGAAAGGTTGCCTCGGCACCACACCAGTCCACGCCCTATCACTCGCTAAAAGGGATCATGACTGTGCATGGCGATAGGGAAAATGTCATCAGCTGCGCCCTTCCCTCCCCCTCAGTCCTCCCGTTAAAGATCCCTTAGCGCTTGACGTGCCTTGTTCGAGGGTATGGGTCCGTGGAAGGAGGAATGAGGACGAAGAAGGGTCGGTGAACTGCTAGGTGGGTCGTCTCCTCACAATGTGCGCGCAGTTGCTCTTCGATAAGAATAGACAGTCTTTGAGATTTCATGGTTGATCTCCCTACACTTTTTCGTCCCCTGTTATTCAAGCCGCGGCTAGCCGATACGATTCTGGTTAATTTGGCTACCTGAGTATAAGAACGGGCTCCTTCAGAAAGGGCTCTTCGCAGACATTGCGTGTAATTTATTCTTCGAAAGTTGATGTTCCATTCTGCCTAGCAGTGCAGGACTGTTGTTCCTCTCACTCTGCCATGCCGTAGGCCTGACAGTTCCACTTGCAGGGCCTAGAGGTGTCCCAAAATTCTCTTGGATTATTCAGAAATACGGCAGAAAATGGGATCGGGGTTATGATTAACGGGAAACCTTCCTTTCAGCTTTCTCGAAATGGAATCGAGATGCATTTCGCCACTAATGCATTCGGTCACTATGTATTGGTAAACAATTTGTTGACATTGCTGGAGAGCAGTAATGATGGGAGAATCGTCATTGTTTCCTCCGGACTTTATAAAGGTGTAAGTCTTTCCTCTCGCTAACAACTCTTCAGAAAAAGGCTGGATGCATTTTTGGCCGCTTAGATGTCTATTCAATCAGTCGAGTTATGATCGAATTCAGGTGAACCACATCCCATCAATACCGTCAGCTTATGGGCGAACATGACTGGGATTATCAAGGAAGATTCGCGTATGCAGTCAGCAAATTGGCCAATTGTCTTCATGCAGTGGAATTGGCTAAGTATGAATTATTCTATTACCCATTATCTCACATTCAAAAGCGCCTTAAAGTCTCTTTCGTCTTTTATTTCTCCAGGCAATGAGCTACCCATTACCTATCGAAATTCTCGAAAAGTTGATATATTCAGGCGCCTCTCAGCAAATCATTGCTCGACGAAGGTGTATGCAATACGTCCAGGTTTCGTCGGAGGAACAGAGCTGGGTCGTGAAACTCATTGGCTACTGCGATCTTTGGCTTCGCCAGTTATCTGGCTGTTCTCGAAAAACCTTGATCAGGTTAGCGTCGTATTTGTCTCTTTTAACATTTCTTGTGAAAAAAGGGCACATTTTAAGCACTTCAAGGTTTGCTTGTGAGTTTTGTAGGGCATTGAGTCCATCGTTCATTGCGCTGTGACGCCCAATGATGAGTTGACATCGGGTGCTTTCTACCATGGTTGCCAAGAGGAGGAATACGGACCTATGGTCACAGAGGTAAAATTCGAATTTCTTTCTTCGTTTGGAAAGCTTCGAAATCAATCACTGCCTGGATGAGGTGTTAATGTACAGAATGCACGGATAAACGGACGTACGCGTTGGTAGAAGTAGACTTTCTCGGAGACACATTCCGGACTCACTTGAGGGCTTGGATCCTCCTGCCTATGGGGAACGCAGGTCCGCAGCCGCTCAAAGTGTGCCCTCAGACTCCGTACCTCGAGTTCCGCCGCTCGAAAGTGCGGTAAGAGCTCTACGGACTCGCTAGAAACCCTGCCCATCACTAGTATCCATGCCTATGGACAGCGATCGATTTCCTTGTCCTTGTGTGTGTTTGTGTGTGTGTTGTGGTTGTGATGACTGTGGCTCACGTCCGCCTCCTATCTAGTTGTCTTCTGGGGTTTCTTGCAGCTCGTTGTATAGGTTATCCAGTGCGTTAAGTCCAATGCTTAAGTTCGATAGGTCGTATTCCGGCTATTCACCAGATTTCTTCTGCTCTTCCCTTTACTTTAAGTGACCTGGAAATTCTCCTATAATTTGCAATCCGTGAGAAATATGTACGTCTTTCAGAGAGTTTTCTCCGGGATTCTTCCGCAATTTCAGAATTTCCTTTCAGGAGAATGCTGCGAATATGTGGAGGACGTTCAGAAGAATGGAAGAGTTGATATTGATTCGATGTCATACCTTGACAGAAGATGACCGACGCCAAGCCGAAGAGGGAAGGAGGATGCTTCCTTAGAGTTAGCAAGCTGCTGTTTCGCTTATCAGATCTGTATTTTGGTAGCTGCAATGCAATCTACTGTTGCTTATTTGTTGCCAATTTTTTGAGTTTCTGTATTGCTTCCTTTCAGTGGTAAGAGAGTGCAGCTATCGTAGCAAACATTTTTGGTGCTATTCAAGCGTGCTTTGGCACTTTTGGTGTAATTCAATTCACACTATGCTATAATAAGATGGGCTGACAATGAGACGCATAAAAGTTGCGTCCTTCCCATTGACCTGCCGCTCCTGTTAACCGTATTTCGGAGAGGAGGGAGGTACAGTGGTTCTCCGCTGACACTGTTCGGCTGGGGGGGGCATTTCTCTGATCCGCTAGTTTTTTAGCAGTTCCTGTTGACTTACACCCCTCATCTTGGTGAGACCTGTAAACTCTTGTCAAGTGTAAACCAGCAGGAAGCCTTCGCTAAGCTGAACTGCGCCTCTGCTCATTTCTGCGCCCATATTGTTATTACGGAACACATCTGTAAGGAAATAATCACAGTTATGTGCGCGCTAAGTCGATGTGAAAACATCTAATTAGTGTGTGAGCGAATATCGCCAAATTGTGAAAGCAGCCGGACGACATATTCTTTGCTACAGTATTGTACCTGGATTGTTATTCATGAAGGTCATTCTGAAATTTGATGCATAACTTTGACGTGTAGTGTCTTGGAATGCCTTTGGCAGATGCGGCACCAAGGTGCAGCATCGGGCTGGGAGGAGCAGCGGTGCCCAGAAATTTTCCTGTTTTCCTCTCCAAAACTAGATAGCCCCCGGAGTACACGGAAATTTCAAAACAAGAAAGACCTTCGTAGGTCAACAACTGGAAAAATATTTTTCGCGGCTTGGAGAAGTTACAAGCTCAGGGGGACAAAAGGTGTACAGTAACCAGAAAATTGCGCGTGAGATCGAATGCGTTGTTTCCGTGAACGAACATAGTGGGTCTAGTAAGCTCCTGAATGGGGCCGGGAAACGAAAGCGACGCAGCTTCCGTTTCCCATCCACAATAGGGGTCATGGTAAAGGTGCTGCCTGGGCGCAAACTATGGAATGTCTATATGCCGCTCGGTGGTTGCAAGGACTTAAAATTTCAGTTTTGGACTACCGTATAGTAGGCCGGTTATCTGAATCTTATCATGTCGGATGTGAGACAATTACAATCAAATTTATGCATGACCCCCTGCCCAATTGGGACACACAACCCCGAACCACCCCTTCCTCCCACCAGTGGGATTCTCCCAGCGATGCTGTACTCCAATGTGTGAAGGCAACCCTGCAAGAGGAAAGCTTGACCCCTGGAATCCTATAAATTATGTTTTCAATAAGAGGTTTTCTGATCTTACAGTACGCGCGGCGCTGATAACCTGTTTACATAATTGTAAATATTGTTCCAAATTGAACTGTTGATACAATTTTTAAGCAATGACTCAAGTTGTATACACCTTGCTTTGTTAGTGAGCCTTTCAACAATTTTTCAAGTGTTAATCCTAATGATCACCAAACTATGACTAACTTTGGCACGGTGATCTGATTATTGGTATTTAACCCATTAATTTCCACGCTAATTGATTTCTGCAGCTGCACAGTTCCTCTCTTGGCAGATAGTCGAGAGCCAGGCAAATGTTTTATGCGTATCTGTCGGCCGTTTGACGTTGCGACTTATTCTCATTGTGATGTTCCAAAGATTTAGAAGCCTTGTGATTAGCTATTCTGTCTATTTTAATAGCACTATTGTGCTTCAGTTATGGTGATTAAGATCATAATATTTTTTCTAATAAATCATTTCGATTTTGTAACTGATGCATGTTTACCATGACTGTTAGGAAAACTCAATCTGTAATAGTTGGAGGTCGGCAGCAATGGATAATCGTACCGTGCCCACAAGTTCATAGTTGTATATCGTCGCAAATCAAGTCGGGGCGGTGTCCGGAGGGATGGACCGAGCCCGCCTCGGCTTCTTTTCCTTATTAGGGATAATAAATCGTCTGGAAGAAAACAGAGTCCATGGAAAACTCTGCGGGCCCGGACTAACATTTTGCCACTTAAACACCGCTGTGTGAAACTGACCTGCCCAGGAAGGGCTACTCGTGTGTTTCGAGTTGCGGTACGCAGGTCAGTAGAGGTGCAGTTCGTCTGAGAGAAACATTGCGAGGCGAGGCGGGGGGGGGGGGAACAATGGCTCTCCTCCACTCAAGGCAACCCACCTCGCGTTGTGTGATCATTCCTGGAGAAATACGACCCCCCCCTTCTTGCTGTCTCAAATACGAGGGCCCCCCCCGCCGTCCCCAGCTACGTACCAACATTTCCTAGATTTTCCCAACTTCCTAAACTACTTTTTCTAATTTTTTCCGCGAAATTTTAGTTTTTCAGCCAAAGAAGGTTTTTGCCGGTATGCGAGCGGGGGGGAGAGGGTCGTCAGGATTTAACTATTCATTTTCAACCATCAGAAATAGTAGTTGTATAGATCTTTGGCAGTTCCCTCTCTCAACAACGGCCAAATAAGCCCTCACCTCGTTGTGATCATCACAACGATGGCGTGCCCTGCCTTCACTAATATTCTCCTCAGAGTGTGCAATCTAGCGGGCAGAACGACCAAGCCTGTAGTCTGGTTTCGTCTAAGGCCCCCTTCCTACTTCAATAAATATATATGTGTGACATAAAACGAAGCACTGAAAAGTTTCGAGCGCCCATGCCTTTAATCACACCTCGATCAAAGGTTTCCTCGGGTAATAAGGAAAAAAAATGCAGGCAACTTAATGCGGAACAGAAACTTGGCATGGAACTCTAGTTATCCAGAGAGCATCATCCTGGTTGTGGAGGGGGGAGGGGGAAGGAGGTTACTGGCAGGTCAAACTGTTGCGGCTGCGCTATAAAACTCAGCCTTCATGAAGTGGCATCGCATAGCCTCATTCGTGGCTAGAGTCTTATTGCACTGGCTCATTTTGCATGTTTACACTCGTGTCGCAAGTACACAAGTTGAGTCAATTAGTTAAAAAATAACTGCTGGGAGAGGGTGTTGTAGATGCCGCTGCGACCTAGAACTCGCAGCATACATCTCGCTTTTTCTTAAATCGAATGTTTTTCCCTGTTTTCCCCCATTTGTAATACTCAGCTGGACCACTCAATTAGAATCGTCGCCCCTGGAAATGGTTTGCTTTTATGCCTCCCAGGTGAGAGGTCTGCAACATATTGCTTTGCACTTGTATCAGGGGAGGAATGTACATAAATGAATGGGAACCGGTAATTTGTTCGGCACTGATAAGAACTGTATTTCATATGACCATTACGTCGCTAGTCCCAGAACTCATACGGATTGATTTCCACGAGAACAAAAGCAGGTATTTTCGAGAAAATAATGTTGTAGTATGATTTAGACGAGAACAAAATACTCCGGAGAAGTCAACGGTAACAGTTAGGTGCCTTATAAAAGTAAAGACCATCTATAATTGCGTTGGAGCTAATGAGAATCAGGTTTACTGCTGTTACTAACGCACACCCCGAGATCGCAAGAATTTGAGGAGCTGACTTTTCCAACTAATCTTTTCTTCAACAAAAGGCATGTAAAAATTACTATCAGACATGGACAATGTCCACGTTTTGTCGACGACAAAGCAATTTGGGCCAGTTTTGCGGTAGGAAATGTAAGGTGAAGGAATTGAGGCGCAAAATTGCTTCAGTGATGCTTCCTCTTTCCACTGACTCCGCCTCCAGACTCTGCCTTTAGAGTGCGCTTTCAAAAGTGAAAAGCGATGCTACCGGACGGCTAACATATAGAAGTTTCATTGTCTCTTCCGGAGCCGTAGGGCTCATTACAAAGATTCAGGTGACTGGACTCGCCCTACGTGCGCTCTTTTGGCCTCGCATTCATACAACTGCTCGCGGCTGGAGAGATACTACTGGAGGCGTTTCCGACGTTTCCTTACGGATATTCTCTTCACTGACAGGCCCCTTGGCAACTGCTCTTTCGTGATTCCATACCGCACTTCGCTTTCTATCGCGGACCGTGCCATCAGCACTTTCTTCTGGAATCAGGCCGAATGGGAGTATACTCAATCGGAAAGCTCCGCATCTTCGTTTAGTGAAGTTCGCAGCAATTATGTAACCGGATTCGTAATCAGTGTCCAGGGCCACATTAGCCAGTGTACATATTATCTTGAAGAGCCACTTGTGAGTAGAAACCACTTTTCTGGTGACGCGGTATTTCACCAGCAACCGCAAAAGCGTGTCCAATCTGTCGCTTTCATCGCATCTGTTAATACGTGGCTTGCGAGAACGGGGAGGGGCGGCATTTGGGTCTTGAGACCGTCGTGATTAATGGCGGACCTGTTTTCTGCCATGATAATGATAAGAGCCACCCCACCTCCAAATGTAAGCTCATAGGAGAGAAGTCACGTGTGACGTCCCTTACAAATGTGACAGTTCTCCTTAACGACTGAATATTTTCAACAAAGAATGACATTTGAAACACGAGGACCTGGCCATCCGCCCCCTCGCTTCCCCCGACTACCGCGGCTGGCTCAAGTACGAACAGTTCAACCTCTTCCTTTATTCACCTCCCGGCTTCGCCTGAGCACGTCCCTGGAGAGAGGATTGCAGAGAAGTGTTGTATAGCACAGCATCAAGACACGATAAAAAAGCGAACCATGGTCAAGAAGCAAGTCGCGGAAAACCGCCAGCTTTACGACCCCTGTCCTAGGAGGGGGCTTCCATACGTTCCATTCTTATTGGCTGTCGAGGTGTTTGCCCTAAACAGTCTACTTGGCTGCGGATGAAGGGCGTGTTAGGGGGAGGATTTGGAGCGACGCCAACCTGTTTTCCAGAAATTCTCGAGAGGGTAAGTGACAAGACTCTTGAAAGGTGTAGAATTTCACGCGCATGTAATCTTCAATAATGAATCTTCTCTCTGTAATCTTCTTCAGTGAGCGAGATTCTTGATCGCCTGGGAGGATCTAAATACATCAGAGCAGCTCTATGGACTACTCTAGCCCAAAATTAGCGCGAGAACTTTCTAAAGAATGTGAGTTTTTGGCCTTCCAATAGGCACACTTTGTGCAAAAGTAACCCACCGCGAAGACCTACACGAATTTGAAAGCGAGGTTCCCTTCTCTCGGCAGGCAACACGCGACATCCTCCTTGCGGATTCTGCACCACATGTGTGATCTGAAGCGAAGCTTCTCTCATTGAGCTAACTTCTCAAACTCCACCATCCTTCGCACCGTCGACGGACCCAGGACAGTGTTCCAGCCAGAATCCGGAGTGACTCAGCGATACTTGAGCGGAACTAGCACCGCTGCTGCGAGAGTAATTGAAGAACTGCTCGGCTTGCATCAGTTCTCGACAGCCTAATCAAAGGGTCCTTCAGGTGATGCATTTGACATGATTGTGTCCAATGTACTTCTCACATTCTGGAGTAAAAAGCCTTTGCCCTGATAACGAGTTATCATTCGGTGTCTTGGTGATGGCTAAACTTCTAGCATTTGTCACTGGTACGTTCAGATTCCTTCAGCAATGTGCATAATCAATACAGATAATAAACTATACGATTATGTTGTTTCGATCTCAGTTGTAAATTGTTTCCAATTTATTACGCTCTATTGATCTTTTAGGGAGGAATTGAATTGTTGCTTTTTTCAATGATCTGCATAAATGAAAATTATTAAAATGGTCATAAACAACTTGGGAGCCGGGGATATCTACGCCGCAGATTTTCGGTTAGGAAGATCCAGCGTTGCAGCGATACGGTAGACGCGGACGTTACGATGTGAAGTCGCTGCGTTCTTTCGTACCAGAGTGTAATGGTTGGGAAGTAGTAAACCAGTATGCAGACAATATTAGCTATAAAGATACTACATAGTTTGTGCTCGCTTCCATAACTCGGATCGTTCAATTGTACCCCTGCACCATGGGTGTGAGCGTGCGGGCATGACTTATCAAACTCGTTACTCTAACGCTTATCGCTGTAATGTTTTCCAGTCAGAGCACGCCATCGTGGTGGAGGAAAACTTTCCAGAGGGAGCTCTCGTGCCGGCATTACTAGCTTCGTCGTGAAACCCATCCTTTTCGATCCCCCACTGCCTCCACATTTCTGTGGGGCAAAGTAAGTTGCAGTGAGTAGCTTCAGTCAACGCACGATTTTCGAATGATTGTTGACTTAGCAGATGAAGACCTCAACATTGGCAGTGTAAGGAGCTATTATTAAATTAGCGCCTAAAATAATTTAACAATCACACTTGGTTTCAGACGCTGAGCGAGCAACAATGGACTAAAAGATCACAGAAACGGCCGTGCAAGTGAGATCTCGAAACCACTCGCCCTCAGCAGTCCGCGCCCCGATGGTGCTCTCAAAGCAAACGTACACTCACCTTTGTGGGCCCGCGGTCCTTGTCATCGTTGACTGAATGATTTTCTTTGCTTACGATAGCCCCACTTTCTTCGCTCAAAAGTGCACGAGAACGCGGCTGGTGGGCAGTGGTATCTGGGTGCCGTCTCCATGCTGCACACTGAGGATGGCCTGCGGGAGTCTGAGATGGGTATCACTTATCTTAACAGCCGTTCCTGTGCACACTCTCTATTGAGGCGACACTGGTTGCAAAGCATTGCAGCCACTCATGCGTAGCATAGGAAAGGCGCTGTTCCTTGGGAGCGTGAGTTTGTAGAGCGATCGGCAACACTACGTCCTCATGCCAACGCATTTTCGTGAACTGGCTGACAATGGCAAAATCGAGTAGGCGCGAATGCCGATCGGCTGGACTTCGCTATAGCACATAAAAAGGAATCTCCAATTTACTCAGACAAAATCAGGCCTCTCTCCGTGCCTGTCGCATCCCCTTGTTTCCTTGTGTTACCTCATCAAGCGAAGGTCATGAATTGTCGAGGCGAGGACCAAGCAACAATAGTAATTTTGTTTGCGTGGAAAAAATGAACGCGCAGCCGCATTGCCTACTTTGGGAGAATTGGGTCCTGGCGTGAATGACAGCGCTATGCTTAACGATCTGCTTTATGCCGCCTCGCTGTGGCTCGGATGTGGTGAATTATAACTCACCTCGAGGCATGCTAGGACGACAGTATATATTGTCAATGAGGGTGATTTTTGAGCAGAGTTCGTGATGTTGGACTCTAATTGGGTTGGCACATTCCGAACGCCCAGGGCGGCTATAGGGGGCTTAAAGGCGCCGTGCGCGACACGGCAAGTCTTCAGACGATGTAGATTACGCCTGGCATGAAGGATTCTGCACCCTCTCTGCAGGGCGTTTGCGGAGGCACCTGTCTCTCCAGGTGAGTGTATTTATAGCGCGTATCGAGCTTCGACATAACCCTCCCGCCACGAATGCCCGGCTGGTAGACTTATGCTCGTGTCGTTCAATTAACAAAAGTCCAGTCACAAACAGTACAAAGGGAAGGGACTGATATAAAGCGGTGCGGTGCTGCATGGACATATGAGTACATACCCGCAGCCGTGCTACCGTAGCGGTTATTGGTACGATGGCAATGGGAAACTCGTCCAAAATTGCTTTCTGAGTCGTGTAGTACAGAAACTTTTTTAGAGATTTTTGACCGTTTCACTTCGCTTCCCCACTACACAGCACCCCTGCTACCAAAGCGAGTTATTGTGAATTATGCCTTTAATTTAGTGGGTTATATCAACCCTGTCTTCATTCACTGTGCAAAAAGTGGTGTTATCAGGTATTACCAAGTGAAGAAATTTATTGCAGTTTGCTTTCTGTCAATATTATGAAAGAAAATCTTCGCTTTTTTCAGCTAAGAACGATTATGCAAATCGATTTCTGTTTAGGTGCGGTCGTCTTTGTCGGCGCAACAGTGATAGCCTCCTTGGTGCTCAACGTCATCACGTACTTTCATTTAGACGACAGTGACCATCATGGTAAACATCATACAACCGCTGCACCGCCACCAACTCCGATCCCCACCACTGAAGCTCCTCCACCTCCCCCACCTGAGCCACCGGTTCCCTCCGCTCAACCGACCCATCAACCTCCTCCACCTGAGCCACCAGTTCCCTCCACTCAACCTCCTCCACCTCCTGTACCTGAGCATTCTAGTTCCACAAGCACTTCCACGGTGCCGCCAAGTCCCCCGAGCCCTCCGCACGATAACAATACGGTCTTTTGCCCAAATGTTGGAAACGCCATGATGTCATCGGAATGGAAGGTGAGTTGACAGTGTTATTTATGAGGCCCAGGAATTATAATAAAACCCTAACTGAACGATTTTTATTCAGAAAATCGAAGAAGGGAACATAAGAGGCGCAATGCGAGCGATACCTAAGAGCTCGGCAAGAGCTCCAGCGTTCTTGGTGCAAGGGCGTTGAGCTATATTCACAAACTCGCTGCGGCTCTATTGCCCTTCCATCAATGACGCTGGAACTGCTGTTCTGTTCCTGAGTCAGGGCATTCGTCGTTTCTAAAAACATTCTGCGATAAGCGCATAGACGCAACTATGTGATTTGCTTTCCTCAACGGCTCGTCTCTCTCCCAACCGTATTCGGAAAGCAGGCCCGGTACCGGAAAAGCACAATGTTTGGGAGTGAGAGTGGAGTGTGCCACAGAGTCATTGAGACTGAAAGGTTGGGGGGGAGGGGTTTCAGAGCGCGACATCTGCACCTTTTTTTTAAGGGTCCCAAACTAACTTTCAGACGACAGTTACTGCGAGAAATATGGGCAAATCAAATCATTGCTGCAAGTACCCTGAATAGGAATGGCACTATTCATCCTTTGCCGCCCCCTATAATCGCCCGCCATTCTCCGAAATCCATAACAGTTTTTTTACTTACGCTCTTTCTCCCAGGCAGCATTTGGTTAAAATTATGAGCTAAGAGGTAGCGTGGCCTGGCAGCGCAGCCACAGGCACACCAGAATCGATCTAATTAGGCTGAAACTTGCCCCAGGGCTATTTTAACTGGGTTAGCACGAATATCAACATACGATAATACGGAAGTTGAAGATTTAGGTTGGGAAGTACACGTGACCCCGCAGCTTGCTCGACTGCATCTTTCCCAAGAAATTGTAATCCTTCCTCTGCTAAAAGCTGGCCTTAGACGTAAGACGTATGCTTCTATCCCCAGGCAAAACAGAAAGGCTCGTGAATCCGTTTCGCCGTGTTCTTTAACAGCTCTTGTCATGAAAGCTTCCTGGGGTCAGCGCTCCACACGCCGGGATCTAAGCAAGCATGAGGCACCGTCGCCTGAAACGCTGGCGCTGAGTGGTATCATGTTTGGGAACTTTGGCGTCGGGGCGGTGGCGGGCCGCCAGGTGGTTGTACACGAAATCGATGTCCTATGGTGTTTTAGGAAGAATGAACTGCTAGCGGACGAACTTTCAGCCAAATCTGGTCATCGGAGTAAAAGTTGGTAGAAATGGCCTGATGTGGGAGCTTTGGGGCACTAATGGGATGATAAGGGGGTCCCTGAGAAATTCTTCGAAACACCCTTTCCGCCCATCCACTGCAGCCGTTTCGGGCTGTCTCCCCGATCCACGACAGCCGTTTTCCGAAACCGAAACTAGAAGCGTATTATGACCACCTGTGCATGAACGAGTAAAGAGGAAGGTGAAGGCGAAGGCATGATACAAGCGTGGCTGAAATAGCCAACTCGCCAGGTTGCTAGTGAAACGTGTCCGAAAGGACAGCTGATCAGATGGAGTAAAACTCATCGGTTCAAAGTGGAGGAATCCAAACGTCACCATCTATGAAGCACCTTTTCACAGGCCGCCAGGGCTCGTGCCGTCGTTGAGTCAACCGTTCTCATCTACAACACTTTGGTTCCAGCAAAGTTTGGGCGCTCCAAAGCTACTTGTGAGATTTCCGTTGCACATTCAGCTTTAATATTTGTCAGCAGGCTCCAAACACTGTTCACACACAGAAGCTTCAATTCAAAGTTTCCTGGGAATTTCAAACAGTCCTTGGTAAGCAGTGCTTAAAACACTTCGCAATGAATGAGGTGTAGATCCTGGTCAGGACAAGTGCTGCCGTTGGGTAAAACTTCACAAGGTGCAACTCATAGCTTCCTCCCCCTGGCGCGGAACTCTCCTTCCCCATCCTCCATTCTACCCCATACTATCCCACCGTCTTCCTAAATACATCCAACTTAAGACTATTTTTCCAGAGTTTTCCGGTAGTCCCCGCCTTTCCCCTCAAAACGGCAGTCGAACCAGACACGATTACTTGGTCGAGAATTCCCCACGAACGTACGACGTGCCCTGATTCAGGGCTTGCTTCGAAAGCTCACAAGAAGCGCCAAATCCCCCTCCTCTTCCTCAGTTTAATTTTTGGACTGCAGGGTCGCAGAATTGACTGACGCTGCTGTTTTTGGGTGAGATAGTAATAAATCACGAATCGATTTCTGAATCATAGGGCTACAACGTGCCTAATCTACATTACTGATTAGAACGTTGCACACTAGTTTTTAGTTGTGTTGAACTCGATAAAGACAGCTTCCAGGCATTGTGAGGGGCCGTGTCCTTGAAGCCCACTATAGGTGTGTCTATTGTCCGCGTTTTTGGGAATGCTGCCGACTCAGAGCAGAAAGAGCAGAAATGTAAACTACTTCTACGAGAGCGCAGTACAGTGAGCCGTCCGGCGTCGTGCTCCTGCTGAAGTGCTAATTAGAAGCGCCCTTTGCATGTGCCAAGGTATGGAGTGTACTCTCCCGAAAACATCCATTTCAGAAAGCGGCAGATTCTCTTTCATATGGAATAGATGAGAGTTTTGACCCATGTGAAGACTTTTACAGCTTCTCATGTAACAAGGTATACTTTGATGATATCTCCCATAAATTTTGTCTTTGGAAAAAAAGGACAAAGTGAAAATCTGACAAAACTTGAAATTTCAGTTTCTTGAGCAGACTGATCTTCAAGAACTTGATGTTAGCCGTTTCTCCACATTTGATCAAGCTCAACTCCAAGTGCATACGGAAATAGCTGAAGCACTTAGTAAAGTGGATATCAACAACAACAAGTGGTCAGAAACAGAAAGGATCACCAAAGCGGTACGTGACAGAACAAGAAAATTTGTGGCTTTTGAAGAAGTGATGGCGCAGAAGCACATTTAGGGCGCATCTCATGACGGCATGGGATCTTGCATTCAACGTGGGAGAAGGTGGTGTTATAAGCGGCACCACGCGGGTATCATTTGCACCAGGATCTGCACCTGCGTAATTGCCTTCATGCACGTCCCCACCATAAGTAAGGGCCTGGTGGCCTCTCTGGAAGAGATCTCCGGATCTGCTAGCAGAGCAGTATCCTGTCACCTCTAGCTCATTAATCATTTCTTAGCGTCATTCAATGCTGCTACCACCTAACAGTGAAAAAACACGCAGTCAAGCTGAACTCGTGACAGAAAAAGCCTTCGAGTTTCGGTGGGCGGGGCAACTGGGGAGGCGTCAGAGTTGCCACTTTGAGGTCCACAGCCTTTCGCCACTCGAGAAAAACCTTCACTC